GTTTCATAAGATTGGGTCCTCTTATGTTTACAGTGCTCTTGAAGAGGACGTCTCTTGTTCATTCTGGAACTAGCATTTGAAGTAGTTGATTAACTTTCAAATGATAAAACCAATTCATTGTTTGGACAGGAAACAGGATAAAAATAAAAGGGACATTATTTTATTCCTTATATCTTCAAAAGTTTATAAGCATTTGTCTTGCTAAAAAAGAAATTGCCATTACTTGTGGCTAATTTATACAACTTATTTCTACTGGGCTAGATGTGCAGTACCCGGTCTCGATGGATTATTTTGTTCCTAGATTTAGGTTGTCGTATTCTCATATCATTCCCCCTTAGTATTCGAATACGAAGAATGCGAATTGGAATATTGGAAGTCTTGCTCCTTTGATGATTTCACTAGTGAATGGATGGATAATCTTTGGTTCGATAGCAAGCTTTGTTTCCCGTTAGGAACTTTTCCACAGAGACAAATATTATCTAACCACCCCCAGTGGCTTGTAGAGAAGGAGCACTCGTGAACAGCTGAATAGCCTTTGGTCCGAAAGCAAGCTTCGTTTCCCGTTAGGAACTTTGCTATCGAGCCAAAGACTATCTAACCATCCCGCAGTGGCTTGTCGTTTTGCTGCCTTGTCATTTAAAGGTCTTATTTCTGCCGATGAAATTTCCTTCGTAGTATGCTTTCCGTTGTTGCCTCGTTAAAAACCTTGCCAAAAAAACCCAATTGGGACAAAACCTAGACGAAGGGAAAAAGAGTGCAGCACATACTTTCAGTATAAGTGGTACTCATCAGCAATAATACCTTTTGAGGTGAGTCACGTTCCAGTTGCTCTGTAATTTGACCACCCATCTTGGTTTTCTAGTTCGTATGATCCTTTCCCGGTGATAGCCGAAACCCGGTAGGGGCGTTCCCATGTCGGAACTAGCTTTCCTGTGTTGAGCTCCCGAGTGTTTTGAGTCACCTTTCTAAAAACCAAGTCTCCTGCTTTGAAATATCAGAGACTGGCCCTTCGATTATAGTACCTTTCCATCCGTTGTTGTTGAGCCACCATCCTAATGTGCACTAAGTCCATGCGTTCGTCAAGCAACTCTAGTTTGACTAGCAATGCTTCGTTGTTTGTTTCTTCGTCTGCCCGGAAGTACCTCAAGGTTGCTTCTTCTACTTCCACCGGGATCAGAGCGTCTGCTATGTATACGAGAGAGAAATATGTCTCTCCCTTGCTTGACTTGGCCGTCATCCGGTATGCCCATAACCCTCTCGGTAATTCTTTGGACCATTTGCCTTTGGATGCTTCCAATCTCTCTTTGAGGATTTGAATAATAACCTTATTTGTTGATTCCGCTTGACCATTTGCGCTCGGATGGTATGGCGAAGATGTGATTCTTTTGTTTTTTGTTGCTACCAAACGCACACGCAAGTATACATGGTCGTACAAGTAATAAAATGATAAGTCGAGTGTCGAATTCACAGAGACTTGTATTAACTACCCACTAAATTTGCCAAGATTGTTATTCAGTCGAGTCAATCCGAGTTCAAAAGTGTGATTATACTAAACACTAATTCTAACTAGTAACTAAATTATAAAGCAGCAAAATGATTGTTATGTATTCAGCAGAGACAAATACTCCATGGTTGTGATCGATTCACCAATCCTATTGTGTTCTAGTTAACTCTCCCTTTCATACAAGTCACTCATGGTTGCTAATTAATCGTACAATTGCTCTCGTAGCCTTCTCCTGAAGTACTACTCATCTATTCAAAATAGATTAACGCTTATATTCCTATGAAATCAATCTATTAAGAACGCATTAAGATTACAATATTTAATTAAGCACGGTAACTAGGTATATTCCTATCCTAACCACAAATCT